CACGAAGATGCTCATTTATGGATTTCAGTGAAAGAAGTTGGTGCACGTCAGATGGCAGTTGCAGCACGGGAATGTTCTAGACGGCTTCAGGTAGTCTATTTCAGTGTCTATTTTCATCTCCTAAACTTTTGATATTTGTGGACACTTTAATTAAAACTATCAAATAAGTAGTTAGATTGGAAGTTTGAATATTTAAAATAAATTATCCCAACTGCAGGCTTTACAGCCTCAAGCAAGGAGGAAAATTTTATTGGATGTAGCTGATGCCCTAGAAGCAAATGAAAGCTTGATTAAAGCTGAGAATGAAGCTGACATTGCTGCTGCTCAAGAGGCTGGTTATGGGAAATCACTAATATCTCGTTTGGCCCTGAAGCCTGGGAAGGCAAGCACCTGTTGATTACTGTAGTTCTTTTATGATGGAGTTTGATAGGAAACCCTATCTCATAGTCTTTTGTTATTGTTCTTTACAGATCTCTAGTCTTGCAAAATCCATCCGTGTACTATCAGACATGGAAGAACCCATTGGTCGTATTTTAAAGAGAACAGAGGTCAGGATTACTTCCAGAATTCTTTTAGTTTGGTGATCCATGAACCAAGGATATTTATGTCATAGGTCTTCTTTCTATGAGAATGATTTTATTTCTGATGTACAGCTTCTGTTTTCAAGTTGAATGCTGTAGTGTAGAAATGAGACCAAGTTTTAATAGTATGCCAATAAAAATGAATCTGAGTATCCTACTGTTTCTTTGCATTAATCATTTCTGACTTTAACCCATTTGGTAATTGCTTTTTCATTCAGCTTGCAGATGGACTTGTCCTGGAGAAAACATCAAGTCCTTTGGGCGTCCTCTTGATTGTATTTGAGTCTCGACCGGATGCCCTAGTCCAGGTAAAAGATAATACACTTTTTATCAAATCCTCAAGCATGTATTTTACTGATAAGACATTATATGTTGTTAACATATTTGTAATGAGAAACTGTAGTTGTATTTATCGATTTTGTTGTAAGGTATTTATGGTGGACCTATGACTGAACTATATCATAAACAGATCTTCCTATCCACACCAATGACGAGAATTTCTCCATTCCTCTTGTCTATTATTGTAGTTCCCTTAATGTTAGGTTCCTTCCTCTTTTGTTCTGTGTTCTTTCAGCTCAAACTTGCATCATGGTTTATTGACATCAACTGATAGGCATGTGTAAAGAGATGTAAAAGGGGCTTGGTGGCATGTACCTCAGACTATTGATCTTGAAAGTCTTTTGCCACCCTAAGTAGTGTTAGAAGGTTGAATAGTAAACATGATCTTTGATTTGTTTCTTGGTCCTTTAAGTAGATGTCTGAACTTGTTCTGGTATTACACCCCTAGCAATGTATTCTTATTCGGTGAGTATTTCTGTATGGATGATTTCATATCTAATATTTGAGATAACTTGAGTATCTCCTATGTTTTTTTATTCAGTTTTTTAACGGGAATGAAATGTCTGAGTATAATATTTTGTTGATCTGGTTAAATTTTTGAGCCTTGAATCTTCTTTTTCTGTTGTTAGGTTTTTCTCCTTTGTGTTTATATTCTAAGCAGGGATAGCAAAATTGATCTTTGCATGGCTTTCAACTAGTTGATGTTAAGCTTATAGCTAAATTTCATGGTGTGCTTGTAGTATTTATCTTGATTGATTGACCCTTTCTCTGTTTCAAATGCTTCAATAGATAGCTTCATTGGCCATCCGTAGTGGAAATGGTCTGCTGCTGAAAGGAGGTAAAGAAGCCAAGCGATCAAATGCAATCCTGCACAAGGTTTGATTCACCGAGTTTAAGCAACGATTCCTTGTACTTGAAAATAAAGTTAATCATCTAGCCTTGCCATACTGGTTATTATTGTTTCCAAATTTCATTCGTTCTGTAGGTCATAACTTCAGCCATCCCAGATACTGTGGGTGAGAAACTCATTGGACTTGTGACTTCGAGAGAAGAGATTCCTGATTTGCTCAAGGTGGATAGTGAGTTGTGAAGCTGTTGTTGATTCTTTAGTATATGGTGATTTTATAACTAATTTTATTTGCACAGCTTGATGATGTTATAGATCTTGTCATCCCCAGAGGCAGCAATAAGCTTGTTTCTGAAATCAAGGCATCAACAAAAATTCCTGTTCTTGGTCATGCTGGTAAGAAAGGATGTCCCTCTCTGTCATAATACACAAACTCAAGCTTCTGTTAAAGTTGCAGCTTTTTTTTCTCAGATGGAATTTGTCATGTTTATCTTGATAAATCGGCTGACATGGAGATGGCAGCACACATTGTTCTGGATGCAAAGATAGATTATCCTGCAGCCTGTAATGCTATGGTAATTCCAGTTCACATTCCATTTGACTAACTACAAATGTGTACTGATATGTGTGCCCATGACCATATTTGAAGGACTTCAACTTGTGTTTATTGCAATGTTCAAGAATTTTCTGGTCTGAATTTTTTGTCACATATCTGCCTCTTGTTTTTATCATGATATTTCCAGGAAACGCTTCTGGTACACAAGGATTTGTCAAGTAATCCCAAACTCACTGAGATTATTGTAGAACTTCAGCGTGAAGGTATGCATAAATAACTATCCCACAGTTCTAATTATAATGGATAACAGCTGGTACATTCTATTGGTGTGTTGTCTGAGAGTATTTATTTTAAGATTGTTGTTCTGAATCAAGAACTGTAATCCCGGAATGAGTTTAGTGTTGGTTGAGACCAGATAATTTGGCACAGCAAAAGTTTACTTTCCTGAAAGTCTAGATTTAAGATGACACTTTAGTGCATGACCAGTTCTGTTAAATTGTTGAGGTGGAGATTGCATTGACAAATATCTTCCCAACTGCAAATTCATCTTCTGCAGGTGTTAAATTATTTGGAGGTCCAAGAGCAAGTAATTTGTTAAATATTCCGGAGACACACTCATTCCATCACGAGTACAATTCACTGGCGTGCACAATTGAAATTGTGGATGATGTTCATGCTGCCATCAACCATATACATCAACATGGAAGGCATGTTATAATATCATTGACATCATTTTATTTTTTCTTTAGTTTGAAACTTCTTGGGGATGAAGTTAGTATTATTTTTATTTTTTACTTTTAACTTCTTTCAAACTTCTTTTTCTGCAGTGCTCATACAGATTGCATTGTCACAGAAAATCATGAAGTTGCTGAAATATTTTTACATCAAGTTGATAGGTAAGCCTGATTTTTCATATGCAGTTCAACATGTACATGATGATGGCTTATCTTATTAACCAAATTAGCCAGTTTTTAGGAGGAAAGATACCATTAAGATATCATTGTAACCCTGCTTTTGAAGAGAATATTAGATAGAGGAGAATGTTTTTGTTCTAAAGAGAAAATTAGTTTGAAGAACTTGGACATTGATTTCAGCGGTAGCTATGAATGACTAAAAAGGATTTGAGGTTGTCAACATGGTGCATATCAGACCATGAATACTTTATATGGCAGCAGTCAGTAAAGTCCCTGACCTGCCAATTTAGGTGACACTGGCAACATCACTTGTTATAACCACCTGAATATATCTCCTTCACAGTCACCATTCACAACTTTGCTTTTTGTTTTCATAAAAGAGACAGAAGGATCCATGCTGTGCGTAAATCTAAGACCTGTTTCAACTTTTTCCCATTTTTAAGGAATGTCAAGACCATTGCTACACCAACTATTGATACACCCTAACACCATGAGTAGGAAAAAAAAATAAAAATAAAAAAAATAAAAATAAAAAAAATAAAAGAGAATTAAAAGATTTGTTCCAACTTTGATGATGGAAAACCTGGTAATCAAGTGGCTTAGGAGTAGTACATGTGATGATTCACCAACTAGAGAAAACCTATGAGTGAAGCAATGTTTCCAGCAGTGAACGTATTGGTGTTATGGGTTCTTGCTGAAGATGGTGCTTCCATGATTGCAGTCTTTTCTTTCTCTTGATGAGGGCATTTTAATTCTCCTTATTTTAGAGTGTACTTCCCTCAATCTGAGAATTATAGTCATTTTTTTCTGATGTCTTTTGGGATTCCAAAACACTTTTGCTATATAACATTTAGCCGAAGGATTGCTAGATCGATATATGCCTTCTTTGTTTGCAATGTTTTGAGCTGCATAGGTATATTCAATCTAATCTTCTCGAGTTCAATAATCTGCCAAAAATTTCTTCATAGTTTGTGGTTGGTAATCTTCAATATGGCTTTTCTGCTGATGTCAACAGCGCGGCAGTATTCCATAATGCAAGTACACGATTCTGTGATGGGGCACGGTTTGGACTTGGTGCAGAGGTATATGACTTTACTGAACTACTGGTTTTAGACACTCATGATTTTGTGTTTTGCATTATCGGATTTATTTGATGGATATACAGGTCGGAATAAGTACTAGCAGGATTCATGCTCGAGGTCCTGTCGGCGTTGAAGGATTGCTTACAACCCGATGGTATGGCAATTCTGAGTGAACTTTCTTATTCAAAATTTCTAGCTAATGTTATGTGGAACCATGTTTGGTACGTCCAACCTGATAATTGCTTTTTGTTATGAACGTAGGATTTTGAAGGGGAGTGGGCACGTGGTCGATGGTGATAACGGGGTCATTTACTCTCACAAGGATCTTCCTTTGTAGTCCTGAAAGATTATGGTTTTAAATTATATCTGCACGCTTCTGGGTTTTTCTTGTATTATATTTCACCAGCTGCTCCATTTGATGTATATTTATCGACTTTTGCTTATAATTGTTTCCAGGTTTTGTACTTGGATCATGCTTAGAGCATGTGTTTAGTTATAATTTTTCTTAAATAAATGACTACCAATTCGTATTTTGATTAGAAGTGCAAATGTCGTTTGCTCATACTGCAAGATTAGCTATATTAATTTAAGAAGAAAATGAATAGTACCATATAGTTGTTCATGTAACTTCGAATGGGGCATAAATTTTTAGTACAGAATGCTGACCATTAGAGATGGCAAAACTGTACAAAACGTTAATCTATTCTATGACAAGATCCTCAATTTGGGACTGTATATTCTTCTTTGAGATAAATAGGAGCGGCTTGCTTCTGCATTATTGGCGTACGGTTACAGGATCAACATCACTGTAGTTTTAATAGAAATAAATCGAAAGATGTATCATCTCATATTTCCCCATCCCACAATTCTTCAAGGCTTTTATAGGGACTTTTAGTTTCATGGACTGCAAAATTCCCTCGGAGGAGTCTTTGCTGAAAACATACACCACCAGGATTTATGTAATGAGTATTGACTAGGCAAATTCCAGACAGTTTATATATAGGCAAAAAATTGAACATGCCAGCAAGTTACCTGGTGGATTTCCAAAAATTTGGAGAAGAGATCTGGAGGAATAAACCAATCGAACAGGTTTAAGTTTTCTTTGATCCTACTTTCGTTTACGCTCTTTGGGAGGATGCTATGACCCATCTGAAGACCCCAGCGTAGAGCTATTTGTGCTGGTGATTTCTGAAGTTTCTCAGCAAGTTCATTCAATATTGGCTCCTTCAAAATTTCACCCTTCATCCAAGACCCTGGAGATCCCAGAGGGGAATATGCCTGCAAGAAACTTTTCCGAGTTATAATGAACTTGATTTGCTATATATCAAAGTAATTTTGATGAAGATTCTTTCAAGTCATACCGAGAGATGAATTTTAGTAGACTTGCACAAGTTGTGAAGGGAAGGTTGCTGCCACACAGGGTGACATTCCACTTGATTGACAGCAGGTTGAACCTTTGCATATTTGAGCAAGTCCTGCAACTTCTTTGTGGAAAAGTTGCTCACTCCAATCGCACGTGCCTTTCCAGATTTATACAAACCCTCCATTGCAGTCCAGGTTTCTGGAAGGCATAAGGGCAGCATGATTTCAGGATCAAACCCGCATGCGCCAGGTTTTGTTCGAAATGGCCAATGCATCTGTGAAGCAAAGCAAAGCTCACACTTCGGCTCAAAACACAAAAACTGCAGATGAAAGTATACAAAAGCTACTGTATGACCAACATATTTTCCATGATCTAATGGGCTGTATAGACAAAAAATTCTGGGCAAGGCTGGTCCCAATCAAACATGAGCCTAGATTTTTTTTTGAGACAACACAAACTGTGATTAAAATAAAATGTCCAACTGTAAATTATAGAGGCATACGAGATACAGATCAACATAGTCGAGTTGCAAATCTTCTAAAGTTCTAGTCAGAGCTTTAGGAACGTCTTCCGGTGCATGGTCGCTACACCTGCAAATTTCAAATTGAAGTCAGATATATGAGGGAACATTTCTCTTTTAACTGATCTAAAAATTTACTCATTTATATTCATGAATTGTGATCAATGGAGAAAAGAAAATTGCGTAAAAAAGAAACAGATACCATAGTTTAGATGTGATAAACATCTCATTGCGCTTCACAACACCAGTGGAAAAGAGTTCCTTCAGAGCTGCACCCACCTGCATCACAACAAATATGAACAAGAAAAATAACAATTACATAAAAACAACAATGTGTAGAGCAAACAAACTTCTTTTGTATGAGGAAATTTTATCACCTCTTTTTCATTGTCATAAACTTTAGCGCAATCAATGTGCCTGTAACCAGCCTGAAAAAATGTTGAAACCAAAGATTTTATGATTCCAGAACTCAAAATGTCATATTTGTAGCCACAACTAAAGACTAATTAAATTAACAAAAATAAATAAAATGTAAAAGTAGAACCTTGACAGCGGCAATGACAGCTTGACCTACAACACCTGGTGGAGCTTTCCATGTTCCAAGGCCAACAGAGGGCATTTTAGCTCCAGTATTGAGATCAAAATGTGAAGGGCCATGCAGAGTTTGTTTATGATTATTCATATTCTTCTAAAGTAAAACAAAAAATATAATTATATATACCATATGAAAGAGTTGTAGTTAGATTGGTATTTAAATGAAGAACAAAGAGTAGATTTATAGAATACCTATGGAACCATAAATAATAATTAACTTTTTGCAACATAGTTTGACAGACCCAGAGATGTTTTCTGCTTCAGACTCGACAACTGGTGGCTACTATTACTTTTTTCAATTTTCAATTTCTTCTTGACCTTTGTATTGGTGGCTGGTGTCATTTACATAGGGATTCACGGCAACAAAATTGGATCTTATGCTTGCTTGACGAGGAGGAAATAATATATATTATAATTTTAGATGGTTTTGTTTGCCTAAACTTATTTTTAATTGGTAAATGATATAATATACAAAATGAGATC